AAATTTTTTGTTTGTCTGTCTGTTTGTTCCGGGTAATCTCCGAAACGGCTGGACCAATTTTAACATGACTTTCACTGGCAGATAGCTGATTTTACAAGGAGTAACTTAGGCTACTTTAATTTTAGAAAAATAATTAGGGTCCGCGCAAAAACATAAAAACCCTAACACGCGAGCGAAGTCGCGGGGAACAGCTAGTATAGCATAAATATTTTACTATAATATAGGGACTCTTTGCAAAATACATTTTACGGCAAATCTCACACGGGGCATAGAATATACATTGAAAAAAATATTACTCGCTCGCATACGTACTGTTGACCATTCGAACTTGTTCAGGGCCGGCTGAAAATCAGATCAATCAAGCTCGTGGCTTATGCTGAAACGATGCCTTTTACCACTTCATCATAGCACACAATTTTTGTTTTAATATGTGGTCGTATACACTTATGATGGATGCACTTCTTCTTGTGTTCTTTTTCCTATTATTTTGTTTGTTAATAAGTCACATTTTTTCTCTTTAATTGTAATATACATATGTAGATATAAGTGTTCGAATAAATGTCTTATTATACATACCTGGCATATACGAGATCTTATACTGCCATTATTGACCGTCCCCGACCCTATTTCATCCCGTGGGTGTCGAAAGGAGTGACAGGGGAATATTTTTATACGTGGTAGAGCCTTCCTGCAGCTATATTAATAGTATGGTTGTAGCACGAAAGGGTCGGCTCGACCGGGGAAGGACAACGCTCTCACAGAATACCAGCGTAAAATAGCCGCTTAATGCTGCTGTGTTTCGTATGTTGAGTGCAGAGAACCGGAGACCCTTTTTACTGGAAAAGAGACATAGTATAACGTTACTTGCATATAATTAAAAGTCCGCTGGTAATCATTGGCTTTCCCTTAGATTGTCTCATAGTGGGGATATTTACCATAGTTGCCACGCTTAGCCGGCGGGTTAGCAACTGCAGTTTTTTTTGTTTAGTTATTTTAAGGAATACTCTGCCGCAAGTGGTTGCTGTGGTCCATGGACATCTACATCTATCTTCGTTTGCAAATTAAAATGCAGATGCGTTGTCACCCCTAAAGACTAAGATGGGGCATTCCCCCTGTTCCAGTGCACAAGGTGCCCCGGTTCTCACTCACCATACGAAACATGCTGGATTAAGCTGCTATTTTACACTGATATTCTGTGGTCCTTCCCCGGTCGAGTCGATCCATTTTTTCTATAACCATAATATAACTGCAGCATAACTGTAGCAAAGTAATTATAAAATCATTTCAAAACAATTCAATTAATTTCAACGCTTTATTTATGATTACTGTGCGTCATTGCAATCATACCGTCATTGTGTCATCACACGGTTGTAACAGTTGATATGTAATAAAATCCATCACTACATTTTGCATCGTGGATGTCGTGAGAAAACTATAGAAAATGCTAGAAAATGCGTATGATTTCTCTTAACAAGGGATAAAATTTCCAGTCGCCGGGAGTAGTGTCAAAGTTGCGAGATATCTGGTACAGCGATCGTGTACATACTTGCCATAAATCTCTACAAAACCCATGTTCAGCAAAAGTATTCCGTAGGCTGATAATAAAGAGAGAATAATAATATAATGTTATTGGAGTTGTAATCTATATTAGCAATTGTATTTTGGCTCCATATTTTCCTTCTATGAGAGGCTTACAGTTTCTTTGATCCGGCACTTCGGTGAGTTGAGATTAAAAATAATAATTTGTGTGTGGTATATGTTTCAACTCGCAGAAATACTTAAGTGGCTCACATTGTTTCTTGTAATTACTGTTTATAATAGAATATAGTCCGTACATATTAATTCGATAGTTAAATTAATCAAATGAATTTTACAATAATAAACCCCAACGGATTTTCGCCTAGTCGTGGCTTATTAGCCGTGACTTGGTCACACGCGGTGAACTAAGAGGAACCCACACATGGCTGGCCCGAGGTGTAGGTCCGGCCCGAGGTGGCCACTCCGAGTGAGCTTGACGAGCCCATTTCGTATATAACTTGGTGCGCTGCGGCGAGAGAGATGCCCTGTCCGCCTGTCGCTGCAGCCACGGTGAAGTCACGTAGAAAGAGGAGTGTTGATATGGCAATGACATGACACCACTCACCCTATCCTCCGCGACCCTGACGGGGCCGCACCGTTGGTTGATGTCGGTGGTGGTGGGGCTGCCAGTATGCGACGAAGGTGGAACACCATGGGATTATAATCGGTACCGTCAAAATACCCTGAGATACGATCTGCGAGCGGGAATCAAACCCGCAATCTGCTAACGCCGCAATAGTCTACTACGCAACCGTCCAAAGATAGCCTGATATTTTTCTGTTATTTATAGTTGAATATGTAGCTATACGTGGTAGAGCCATGCTGCAGCTACATTAATAGTATAGTTGTAGCACGAATGGGTCGGCTCGACGGGGGAGGGACCACGCTCTCACAGAATACTAGCGAGAAAAAGCAGTTTAATGCTGCTGTGTTTCGTATGGTGAGTGTACCGGAGACCCTATTTACTGGGAAAGAGGCATTCTATCATATTCCTTACGGGTGACAACGCATCTGCATTTTAATTCGCAAACGAAAATAGATTTAGATGTCTATGGACTACAGCAACCACTTACCATCAGGTGGATTGTGTGCTCGTTTGTCATCCTTATTCTACAAAAAAAAAATACTGACAATTCCTCCTTAGGCAGGGACGGGGCCACGTTTGGTAGGGGATATTCCCATGCTGGTGCAGAAAGGCAGTCAAACAAAAAAGGTGTAATTAGATAAACACAAAAATTTAAAAACACATAAGATATTTTAGTGTTAAATTGATCGCAGTATAACTTTCACGTTGTATTGTGTGTAAGGTGTACATAGATAAATTGCACATGAACATTCAAACCCAATTATTTTTAGGCAATACAAATACGTGTTACGTGCGGAATTCGAACCGGCAGCTCGCAGCGCAGCAGTCATGTACGCTACCGTGCTGTATTTTTTTCTGATCACATTTATTTTTTAACCGACGAAAAGACGGAGGTTCTCAAGTCGACGTGTATATTTTTTTTATGTATGACCACGCATAACTTTTTACAGAGTGGTCCGATTTTGATAATTCTTTTTTTATTGGGTAGGGTATACGTCGAAATTGGTCCCATATAAATTTGGAAAAGAAATGTTTACCCTAAGGGTGGGAAAATAGGGTTTAGATTTATTTTTTACTCACAGATTTTAATTCTGAGTGGTGTATTACTACATTACATAATAATTACACTACATTACATTACATTACAAAAAAACCTCACGATGAATGAGCTTCAGAGCTGTCAGTCTCTTGTGTGTAGTCCTCTCAGTCTCTGCATTTCTGCTAAAGCTCGTTCATCGTGAGGTTTGTGTAATACCTTATTTGGCCCTAAATCAGATATAGCAATACCCTCAAGTGTTTTTACTCTACTCAGTGCCACATATGCCTGTCCTTTGGCAAACCCTTTCTTTCCGAGGTCGATTACAGCTTTATCAAGGGCCGCACCTTGTAATTTGTGAACCGTGACGGCCCAGCATAAAATTATCGTCAACATCCTGTGCTCAATATCGCCATTGCGCTTCGTACCTTAAAAGGTGGCTACCACTGAAGGTATGGCGACACAGCCATCGCTATCTTTTAGTCTGCTTCCTATGCTTTCATCGTCAAATTTTACTAATACACAATCCGGTAATTCTCCTTCCTCTAGTTGATCCCTGCGTAGTGATTGCCATTTTATTATTTTTACAATACCCATAGCACCATTGATGAGCCCGTCAGATACTGATTGTTATGTCTCAACATCACACGAGATTTGACAGCTAATTTTACTTCAGATAAAAGTCCACTACAATTGTTCACATCTTTTGGAACAACATTATCTGGAGGTTTCTTCCCATATGTAGCAAATACATTTATTAGAGCATTTAACAAATTGGGAAATCCTTCTTCACTATTGTCGTTGTCTACGTGACCATTAAAGGATGATTCATGACGAACATTGATATCAACTTTTCAATTGTTGTATGTGATATTAGGTAAAAGCTCAGTTGCAGCCAAATATTCGATATGTGCTTCTTCGGAATTGGGGTTAGCTCGAGCCGCAATACAGTCTCTATAATATTTATCTCCTCCCAATAACATGTAATCTATGTCGCTTTTGCACCAATTATTGGGATTTATCAGAGAAAATGCCACACTAGCAACAGTTGCAATCCCTGTGCATTGCCGACCACGTGACTCTGGACTAAATCGTTCATTGTCCTGATGAAAAGAACCATATAATATAGATACATTGTTACTCAAGGCAGTATAGTTAGTTGTAGGTACAGTTGACCGTTCAGCAATTGATTCTTCACTATTATGACCATGTGCAGGTGCGAACATCTTTATAGAGTGCATTATTCGTTAGGAGCCACTGCAATGCTAATTGAAGTTTACATACATCTATTTGAAACTCCCTAGAACGTTCTAAATTTTTACGACTTTCTACTACAATCACTAATCCAGTTTGATTAGGTTCAAGCGGAATTTGCTCCGCCAGCTCGACCACATCCTAAACAAAAATAATTGCCTGCCATTTGCACCAGTATTGGCTCAAACGATTTTGAACATTTATTATTTTAAGAAATGGCACTACCTACTCTGTAAATAAAACGTTTTTCAATTTCCGATAAGGTATCGATTTCTGTAGGCATTACAGCTACCGACATTTTATTCCAATAGGCCTACGGTGGAGTGTTGTTTTTTTAATATTATTTGAGCATCGTGAATAAGTAATAATATTACCTAAAGCTACCAATTCATTAGGGAAAATAGAACCTAAATTTGTAGTTTGCAATATTGTACGTTGCTGAGGATACAAACTTTTTTCGAATATTGAACACGGCAAGTTAGCATAAACATTAATCGCTTTCTTAAAATTTTCTGCATTACACTGTTTTCTTCGCTCGCAAGCCGCTTATCGCGTTCTCTCCTCGGGAGTTTCGTGAAGTTTCACCATTGCAGAACAGTTACGAGCAGCATCCAAACGTAGCAAATGTTCGTCTTCAGTTTCATTTGAAAGTCGCTCTCTTATCAGACCTAAACGATGAGCGCGTTGTTCTTCACATTTTTGCAATAACCTATCGTTATTGTAACTTCTCATCTTCGACAGTCTTTCCTCGCGCTGATTTAAACACTCCTGTGAACGTGTTAATCTAATTCTCTTTCTATTTGCTTCCAAACTTTTATTTTTCTCATTATTAGATTCTTCTAAATATCTTTTTCTCATTCGAGCAGCATTTTTTGTGGGCCTACCCAAGGTGGTATATAAAGCCTGTTTTTTTAAAGAATTTATATTATTATACAACAAATAATAGTTAAAGTAGGATTATATAACAGTTAAAGGCTAAATTAAGGTAGGTAGCTAATTTGAAAGTAGTCAAAAACTAAGCATGTAGTAATTAGTAGATTATAGCCACGAAAAATTATAAAATAAAAACTTTTTAACAAAAAAATTAAACCGCCGAAAAAACTGAAAAGCAAAAAATAATAAACCTTTTTTATTTAACCTTAATAACTAAGTTCTTAAACTAATTTAAGTATACCTAAGTATATATTTTTGTAATTATTTTGAGTTTTTAATTAACCCTAATAACTGACTTCTAAAACTAATGTAAGTATACCTAAGTAATTTTGAGTCGGCGCCAAACAATCAATGAACAAAGAACACTAAATTACCTTAAATTTAAAGAAATAACTAAATCAAAATCAAATTAAAAATGCAACGTGAAATCTTCAGCGATAAACATTAAAGCTGAACGCACATTTGTCCGCGCCATACGCGCCGTACGCGGCGAATTTTGCTAATGGCCTCGCACATTTGCACGTACGCAAAAGTTGCATTGCAACTTTTAAAAATACATTGCGGCATTGTGAAACGTGTTTACATTGGCTGTGTTTCAAATCAACTAAACGAAATAAGAGCTCACGTCTCCAGTGCGCTGTTATTTACTTGGACGTATTTTTTGCTCCAACCCGATATCTAGTTGGTATTGTTGATCGAAGGCTTTACGTAATTAATTAATTTGCTTGTTTGGCGCCGACTCAAAGTTACTTAGGTATACTTACATTAGTTTTAGAAGTCAGTTATTAGGGTTAATTAAAAACTCAAAATAATTACAAAATATATACTTAGGTATACTTAAATTAGTTTAAGAACTTAGTTATTAAGGTTAAATAAAAAGGTTTATTATTTTTTGCTTTTCAGTTTTTTCGGCGGTTTAATTTTTTTGTTAAAAAGTTTTTATTTTTAATTATAAAGCCAAGTCCTTTTTCTAGGAATTTGATCCAGCTGTTGGTTGTTTACGTGAAGTAACCGTTACACCTTATCATGGTCCACTGCTGAACATACATCCCATAGATTGGCTCACAGAGGGATATTTATTGCCATAGCTGCCACGCTTGGCAGGTGGGTTGACAATCGCAGTTTCTTATTTTTAGTTATACGCTGATAGCCATCTTCTGCCTTGTCCTCCTGTTGCCTCTTATAATACTCGTACTCAAGGGATGATATGGGGTAGCGGATATTCTTACACTGCTTCTACACGGACGATGAATACCAAGTAAGCAAATACTAATATTTTGCTATTCATACTCTTACAAATATTTAGTGTGCTAACATTAAATATTTGAGCTCTTCAAACATCACATTTATCTCAGGCTAATCTTAGTTAATCTTCATATCTTTAGTGCAATACCTCTGGCATTGCGTCTGGTCATAGGCGGTGGTGGTCGTTACGCGACTGGTCATAGGTGGTGTTGGTCATTACCATCAGGTGCATTTGCACGATTGCTTAATCTTCTACGCTTTAATTTGTACTATTTGATCCTATTTAAATCCTACGTAATCCAGGTTCCTGCAAAACGTAAAAAGACTGTCTTCGTTCCCGACTTCTGGCCCTCTGGGGTAGTGTTTCGCCGATACAGGGACGCGTGAAGAAAGTTCCTTAAATAGTGTTATGTATATTTAGGTTAAGGTATGTATTGCTTTGGGCCAAGGTTTTTTAGTTTTTAAGTCCTTGATGCTTGAAATAAATGTTTTATTGTATATAGGTAATTGTGATATTTTGCTCGTATTTTAAATGTCTTTCAATTTGTTTGGAATAGCATCATCATCATCACCATCAACATGTTTGGAGCAGTAATACGCGTGTTATGTGGCAGAGACAAACATTCTTTTAAAAATAAATTTATTTAATACTTTTAAACTTACTTAAAATATAGTAGTTGATACAGAGAACTTGGGAATGGAATTATATTGAGGGATCGAAAGATTTGGTTTAAATAGTGTAGGAAGCTAAGAGGTGGGGGTATAAAATAAGGGAACAACATTGTTCTTGGTGTTATCGTTAACTTATTCTAAGATTTTACAGACAATTAGGAATGGTAAACTATAAACATTAGCATATAATATTACAATCGAATTAGTTTAGCTTCTAAGAAAGTAATTTAGCTTTTCAGTAAATAGACAATATAAAGTATACAGGACTTATAACATAATATAAAGTAAATAGTATCTATGACATAAAACCTCTCCCCTTAGTAAAAACATTGAGCAGTTTTGCTCGATTTTTGAGTGTAGTAAGCAGCTTTGTCTTCGTCTTCTGGTATACAGGATGTTGTAGCAGCGGTGTTTAGTGATGATATGGGAATCTTGACGTTTTGTCAGCGACGAAAACGGTCAAAACAATTATTAAAAAATTGTATACAGTTACCATGTGAATTTGTAGGCATGTTATTCCATGGCAAGCGTTTATAACATTTATAACAAAAATATGTTAGCATAATAATGCCAGTAATCGTACTTAATATGAAAAATTTTGTTACATGTTTTTCTATGAATGTAGATTTATTATCTTCAAGCAATTTTGTGTGAGTTTTATTTGTTCTCTAACCGAGTTAGGAGAGTCGAGTTGAATGTTGTTGAGCTGGATTGGTGCAAGTTCTGGTTGTGGCAGCTTAATTTCATCTAAGACGCAAATGTGTTCAATATACATACAGATAAAAGGATGGCTGATGTTGATCGATTTTGTGTACTCAGCTAGGAGTGTAACAAACGCGGTGCACATTTAACATCCTTGTTCTAGACTGATGATACCTGCTCCAGAGATTTCGCCGTGAATCGTTTTGCTTTCGCATTCTAAAGCATACGGAGTCTTGCGTTAGAATATGTAGATCCAGTTGTTGTTTCTAAGAGCTCGGATAGTGTTGATGTGTGTCGTAAATGTAGTTACCTCACAAACTTCAGGAACTTGTTGACTCGTCGTTTTTAAGATGACAACTTCGCATTTGAGTCTTGTGTTGATGTTGTAGATGAGAAGATCCTTGCAGACTTTGGATTCCATTGCAAAGTCTTTGCATTTGTCCAGTGAGCTCATGATGACGTATTGCTATCAAGTGGTACTCATGGCAAGATATGTTTGTTCGGGAAGGATAGTAGAATATAAGGAAGAGTCAGTATGTAGCATAGGAATAGAATAAAAATGGTATAATGTAAAGTTTTCGTTTTTTATTAAAAGGAATTCTAAGATATATATAATTTTATTCATATAAATATAGGAATTAATAGAGGCAGATTCAAGTATTTTGTGTATATTAGGTAATGCTATCGGGGCAACTAAGTTTTTATTGAGCCTAGCGGGATAAGAAGATAGTAATTGTTTGTATAGGCTGTCTGAAATAAATTGATTTTATTTTATTTTTATTTTATTATATTTTATTTATTTTTTAAAGGCGAATAGTGGGTATTATAGAAGGGTGTATTGCATTTGATTTGATGAAAAGTATGCTTGTAATGACATCATCGATATCTCGTTCAAAAGAAACTATAGCTTCTAGAATTTGAATTGAAACGGTAGATATGTTTTCAAGAATAGTTAAATTAAATATAAGTTTGTTTGTTGAGGTAGAGTATGAATGGATTTTTCTAATATCTTCGTTATTAACGTATTCATCATAAGAGATTTTATGTAATGTTTCATAAAAATTCGTGATCGTTGAAGAAATAATTTTTAATTGTTGTTTTAAGATATCATTAGTAGATATTTGCTGTTTCTCTAACTGTTTGTTTGTGTTCGTTATAATGTTTGGGATCTTTTGCGTCTGGAACAACAATGAGCCATTTCAAAATTGAACCTAAGCCGTCTAGTATTTCGCATCTGGATTGCTTTTTGTCAGTGTAAGAATTAAGTTCGTCGAGACAAGAATCTATTCTGTCTGTGTTTATTTTTATAAATGACTACTACAGTTATAACGGTAGGTATATAATTATAAATGTGTAGTAATGAGAGATTGATAGTTATTTATAAGTCGTTTGATAGAGTTGCGAGCTAGGAATAAAGGTTCAAGATTACGATATACGATAAATTTCCAGGAATTTTCTGATATTAACAATGGTGATTGTTTTCGAAATAGAGTCCAGAATTAGAAGCAATAGTATTTATGTGGGTATCCCCATCAACAAAAGTTGTGGAGTACCTGAAAATTAAATAAAAAGAAACCTAGTTAATTGTTTTGAATTATTTTATATATAATATATATATATATATATTTCATTATGATGACCAGACCACAAATGTGTAGTGATGTCTCAGTGATCGCGAGGGAGAAAACTGGTAGCGATCACCGAATGGTTAGAGGCACACTGAACCTAAACGTTAATTTGGAGAGGTCTCGTCTAATGAAGTCAAGGCTTCGTCCCCCTCGTGCTCTAGTCCAAAGTCCCGAAACCTTTCAGCTCGAGTTACAAAACCGTTTTCAGTGCCTGGAAGACTGCAATGAAGTGGACGATATGAATGATAAAATCGTGGACACTGTCCATGCGGTCGGAGCTAAGTTCTGCTAGACCGTCCGCAAAAGAACACAAAAACTCTCCAATCACACTCTTGATCTCATGGTTGTTAGACGGAAAATGAAGCTCCAGTCTTCAACAAATTTAACAGCATACAGGCAACTGAACAGACATATCTCCAAATGCATGCGGCGCGACTTACGCAACTTCAATACAACTTATATTGAAGAAGCAATCGAGCGGAACTAAGGCTCCAAAGTCTTTACCAGAGATCTGTCTGTCAGAAAGTGCCAACTGTCAAAACTGAAGACCAAATGTGGCAGCATCGTTTCCGGGACGCCTGAGAATTTGAGTGAGATTGAGAGGTTCAATGGGCAGCTGTACACGTCATCGTTGGAGCCACACGCAAGTGTTAGTAACGATCCAAGAGAGAGTCTTATCTGACACTATTCCGAAGATATTCCGGATGTCAGTCTGAGCGAGATTAGAATAGCTCTCCAGCACCTTAAAAACGGCAACTTCTTCGTCGGTGCATCAAGTCAGCTATATGTTTTTTCACGCGGGTTTTTATATATCTTTTTGGTTGTCCTATGTGAGAGAGATCACATTCACAATCCAGCTTGTACACTCCTGCATCTAGTAGAGGGATATGACACTTGACGGATGGTAAATATTGACTAAACTGCTTCGGCGGCTTGAAGTATGTTTTAATGGAAGCTCGCTTCAAGATGCAGCCAACCTTGTCTGTGTGTCCTCTGACGTAAGGTTGTACAGCAGCCACACGCTTGACTATACCTGCTGTATTACCTAGCTTCAGCAAGTCGAGCATGTATTGCAAGACAACAAGCTTTGGGTCTCGCGCCTACGTCACAATGACCGAGTGAAGCCGGCCACTGTTACCTCTTACGACACCCAAGGGACGATATAAGGTAGCGCATATTCTTACACTGCCTCTACACGGATAATGAATACGGAGTAAGCAAATACTTATATTTTGCAATTCATACTCTTACAAATATTTAGTTTTAACGCGACAGGTGCTTTTCAAAGATCACATTTATCTCAGGCTAATCTTAGTTAATTTTTACATATTCAGTGCAATTCCTCTGGCATTACGACTAGTCATAGGCAGGGTGGTCATTAAATTATGCGGCTGGTCGTAGGCAGTGTTGATCATTACGCGACTGGTCATTGACCGTGTTGGTCATTACCATCGGGTGAGATTGCAATATTGCTTTATTATCCACGCTCTAGTTTGTACTAATTCATCCTATTTAAGTCCTACGTACTACAGGTTCCTGCAGAACACAAAGAGCGTTTCCTTGCTCCCGATTTCTGTCCCTCTGGGGTAGTGTTTCGCCGATACAGGGACGCGCCAAAGAAGTTATCTCAATAGTGTCTAATGTCTATATTTTATATATATTTTCAGGTTAAGGTATATATTACTATGGGTCAATGTTCTTAATTTTTAAGTCCTTGATGCCTGATGTAAAGTTATTGTATATAGGTAATTGTGATATTTTTGCTTGTATTTTAAATGTCTTTCAATTTGTTTGGAATCGTCATCATCTTCGTAACCATCAACATGTTTGGAACAGTAATACGCATCAATTTGCACTAGTCGATTTTATACATAAAAATAATCGTTCTACTATTCCTTGCATACATGTAAGCATCGAAGTTTACAACTCATTTGGAGGAAGTTCTGGCAGTAATTTCGATTGCTGCTCCTTTATTGTTTAATGGCTTGAAGTAAATATTGATAGGGTAGATTGTGACACGGTTATAATAGAACTTGCATTCATCAACACACTAAAATGAACTTTTAAACGTGAGTTTTTAAAATAGTTTAGAAGTTAGAAAAGTAAAAATAGAAAGCCATTTTAGTGAGGAATTTTTGTGTTAATGTGCATGCATGAAAAACAAAAATATTTACCATCGAGAAGTATGAAAATATTTAACCTTGAATAGAACAGAGATTTTGGGCAGTTAACTTGCTACGATATATAAGTGTATACATAAATAACTAAATACATATAAAGTAATGAGACTCAACTTTATAGGCCACAGATATGCTCGTTTTCTTTTAAAAACCTTTTTGACACGTATTTTTGACGGGAATAAACTGTGTGATTGACGGAGATTGGAGAATGAGTATCACTACGAAATTGAAATCTTTCTTTTAGATAAAAGGGTGAAAAAGAATCATTAAGAACTGAAAACAGAGTGGACAGGATTCGGAAATCTCTGCACTGGCGTATAGTCAACCACTTTAACTGAGAGCGAAATTCTGAAACGTGATCATATTTGCGCAGACCAAAGATGAATCATATAAAGTTGTTAAGTAACCTGTCCAACCTGTTTAGCAGCTCCTGAGAAATATTAAAACGACAAACATTAGCATAGTCAAATAATGAAAGAATTAGAGATTGGACCAGAAGACGTTTAGTTGAAGAACACGTAAAGAACTTAAGGCAATAGAAGGAACGAGCTACGCCCGTGACTTTACGACAAACCTCGGACACCTGTGATATCCAACTAAGAGAAGGGTCGAAACCCAGATCCTTAACACTAGTTCTGAAGGATATTACGTAGTTTTCATAGTGAATGGATGGTAGTTCAGATATGTTAAGTTGTGACACCAACCGACGACTACAAATAACGATAGCCTGGCATTTACTGGGATCTACCGATATACCAAAGGGCTGTGACCAGTGTGTTATACGTTGTAAGTCACGATTAATAGCTGTAATAGCAGTATCAATTTCAGCCAAGAATGCTTGTGAGTAAACTTAAGATCGTTAGCATAAGGGTTATAAAAACATTGAAGGTGGGTAGTTAGAAGATTGATAAACACCGAAAACAAGAGAGGAGAAAGAATAATAATAATAATAATAATAATAATAATAATAATAATAAGGCGTAGGGAAGTGACGACCCCATCGCCCGCTGACGTAACGGTTATGTGACAAAACTGCTACGTCAGCGCAGTCAGTCAGCACCTTGCCAAGAGGTGTTAGCGCCGTGCCTCGGCAAAATTGGAGGTGCAAAGGCCCGATTGTGCACATGGCCTCACCATGAAACGGTGCCGGGTCTGGGCGTCTCCCGTTAACTGACGCCCAAGTAATGGATGATGGAACTAAGAAATACGCGCAAAGGGCCGCTGCCTGGAGGTCACCAGGGCGCGTCTGGAGCTGGCGCTGGACGCGGCAGCATGCGAACCGCCAGTCGACCGCGAGGTGCTGCACGATCACCCAGCAGCCCCTCGCATCCATCATCCCCACCAGCTGGCTTGGTGTTGGCAGGGTCTTCGTTGGCCCAGCAATCAGCACCCGCCACTGGTGGAGTACGCCGCATGCGTTGGTCAATGCAAATGAATAAAAATGCATTGCGGGCGTATTTTGGGGCGAAAGGGAGAGAAATTGGAGGTTTTGGGTATCGGGCTAGGATGCACCGACTATTTGCTGAGCTGGAGCCATCTATTACCGTTACCGAGCAAAATCTGGCAGACCGAGTTCGGTACATCATGCGCTCAAAAATATTTGATGACGCCGAACTCGAACGGCTACGACGTGAGGCTATTCCTTT